TATTATATATATATATTATATATAATATAATATAATATATATTATAATATATATATAATACTAATAACATTGTAAATTAAAACTTTTTAAAAATAACATTACGCTTATTAAATGAATAAAGCATATCGATTTATTTTTCTTCAATTTATACAATTTCCAGATTAAGTTACCCGAAGTAATATCTCTAATATTACACATTCAAGCCAAATTAATGCTATTAATGCTCGAACAATCGAGCCACTTATATTCGCCGTGGATAATTTTATAAATCTTACGACTAGCGTTAAGCTATGTGATAAATGGACACGAAAAAAACTTCCGTGTGCCGACCTCGATGAATTAAGTTCGAAAGAAAGAGCGACAATGTTAACGGTATATCGGAATCCTACAGCGAAGCCAAACTGGTCTTCGATCTGGGCCATGACCTGCTTCCTATTCACCTACAGACCTATCTAACCGCATGTAAAATACATATGGGCAACCTTACTCGTGTCCACCTAAAAACTCTCCCCGGTCGTTGATCTTGTTCCAGGCACTTTCATCCGAATGAACGAACGATCAGAAATACAGTTACTCTCAAAAGTATTTGAATACTGACGATAATTTTAATTTCTATATTTTATATATTTTATATAAGACAATACCCTATATTAAAATTTCTAAAATAAAAAAAATAAATATTTTATAAATATTTAATAAACAAAATATTGATTGAATGTTATCTTTTCTAAATTCTCTAATTCGATCCAAATTTATTGGCAATTGAAAAATATAGTAAGTAGAGTAAGAATAATTAATAAAAAGGTAATTGAAAAAGTTTTATTATTATTAATATTCTATACATACATATATACATATATATATATATATATATAGAGAGAGTATACATATATATATATAGAGAGAGAGAGAGTGTTAATTATAAACAATTTTGAAAGTTTAGTTCTAGAAACTAAATTTGATATTTAAAAATGTCGATTAAGACTTATTTTTTAAATTATAAACAATTTAAGTTTATATTTAAAATATAGTTTATATATAAAATATATAGATAAAGTGAAAAAATGTAAATGAAAAAAAAATATTTTGAATTAATAAATTTGTCTTTGAATACTTTAATATTTTGAATAAATTTTGAATTTGTCTTATAAATTATATTATAATCTGAATAAAAATAACTGTAATTGAATCGAGATTATTTTAAATAAGCATGTGTGGAATTTTTTAGGGATTTAAATCAATGTCAATGGAAATATGATTTACATTATTGTAATATAACTATAATGAAGAATTTTTAGTGCCAATTAATAGTCGAAATTAAATAACAATATATCTCATTGTATCCAAAACAAAAATTACAAAAAAAAAAAATGATTAAAAAAATATATTTTTAAAAGATATTATAATGATATTATAATATACTGATAAAATATCAAAATTTAGATAAAATTAAAAATGATGGGTAAATAATATAATACAATATATACAATATAATACAATATAATAATAAACAAAGATAAAAAAAAACGAAAGATAATGACATATAAAAAGAAACATTTTTAAATA